CTGCTCATGGAACAGGGGATGTGTTGAGAGGAACTGGCCTACTGTGCTCAAAGCAGGCAGCTCCTAGGGTTCCTGGCCCTTTATTCCTTTTGTCCAAGGAATCAGTCCATTGTCTGCTAGCTCTTGGTCTCATGTCTGGTGCCAAATGCCACATGCTATTCCATTTGGTGTCATTGATGGCTTTTCCCACAATCCAGGGTGACTCACTGCATTCCACAAAAGGTAGAGGATTTATTTTTTTGATTTTTCTGCCTACTTGATGAACTGCCTTTTTGCTGTCTCCCAATCTGGTGGGAATTTGAGACTACAAAGGTGGAACCTGCTTCCCAGACAAGGATAGAGGTGAGGAGGGAAGGTCATTGTTAGACAGCAAGTCCAAGTTCTGTGAAACACAGCACTGCCAGTTGTGAAGCAAACCTCTATGCAGACTGTGAGTCTTACTTTTAGGTCTGCTAGAGGTCTTCAGAACCACTCAAGAAGGTTTGGGGTTCAGTCTGACTGTGAATTGAAACAGGTTTACCAATCTAGGAACACTGCACAGGATGGCAAATATAACCATGGTCAAAGCTAGAAGTCACCTCTGAGCTCTTATTTGGGTTTCCAATGGCATTGTGCATGTTCAAATACAGGTGTAGATCCTTTTGAAAAATTGGGACAGAGTACTAACAGTAAATATATCTTTGGGGCAGGTGTGGGTGGTGAAAGGCTTTCATAAGAAAAGATATCATCCTCCAGGGAGTCTGCTGAAAACTGAGAGCATTGCTTAGGACAGACTCCTTTCATGGTTTCCCATTAATTATTTTTCCCTCTCACATTTTTCTATTTTCATCTCTTTTTCCCTTTTAATTCTAGGAATGCAGTTATTAACTTCTAATCTGTGAAAAGGAATCTTTATCTGTCAGACCTTCAGACAGGCAATAATTTGGGTGTTTTGCCAAAGGTGATACCGCAGCCAACCCTCAGCTTCAGTTCCCCACCCTGGGCTACAGCTGCCTCCTGCTGTTGTGACGGCTGTGCCCTGATGAACCTGTCAAATAACTTTTAATGATGGCATTTGTATACACAGGGCATACCCTGTCCTTGCTAGGGTTTAGTTACGTTTTTGCAGCACATCAATGAAAATGTGAGAGGGATGGTGCCTGTGGGGTAACGGTGATAAAAGTGTGTGTGTGTTCCCATTTTCTTTCTTTGAACTTCTTCCAGAAATGTTTACCTACCATGCCTACCATGACTTTGGGAGGATGCAACCAAGTTAGAGTTTTACTATTTTTATGTGGTTTTGATCTAGGAAATTGTATGTATTGTACAACAACTTAGTGTAATGGCATACATTCTTATCTACTTGTGTAAAATATTTATAATTTTGCAACCTTTCCTTTCAACTGTTCCATAAAAATCTTTAAAAAAAATTCCAGTTATTCAACCACGAGAAAGAAGAGCATCCTGTCTTTTGCAGCAACATGGATGGACCTTGAGCACATTATGCTAAGTGAGATAAGCTAGGCAGAGAAAGACAAGTACTGTATGATCTCCACTTACATATGGAATCTAAAAAAGACAAGTTGGTAAAAACAAAGAATGAAATGGTGGTCATGAGGGGATGGAGAGTGGGAGAATAGGACACATGTTGTTTAAGGGTACAAACTTGCAACGAGTAACAAATAAGCCCTAGAGATTTAATGTACAGTATAGTGAATATAGACAACAATATTATAATCATCAAACAAGAGACTAGAAATTAATTATTCCAACCCCTAAGAAGAAATGATAATTATGTAATGTGATAGAGGTGCTAATTATCCCTACAATGACAGTCATATTAAAATATATAAATGTATCAAATTAACATGTTGTATACCTTACATTATAGTCTTATATGTCAAATATATTTCAACTAAAAAAATTTCAAACAAGTTCTCACTGATTATCAATTTACACTTTTCCTCACTGTTTTTGTTAGAACTCATTGGAATGCAAATAGAAGTTTAAGGAGAGATTGGTATGGTATCGTCATCATGATTTGGAGAAGAGTATATATGTTGTTATTTCTTCTTGGAAGAAATAAATATGATTAGAAAAATATTCCGATTTATTAATAGCAACAAGTTACTAGTTATTTCATCTTTGTTCTTAAGTTTGCAAAGTAAGTATCTCACTTACCTGTGCAAAGAACAAATGAATTTGAAACTTATTTAAAACAAACTGAGAATCAGTTGCGTAAGTCAAGCACAGTAATCTGACTCACTTTAATTTTGCAAAAATGCTTATCATTCTACTTTATTATACAAAAATGGATTTAGTATTAATTGCCTATCTTCCATGCTTGTGAGCACTCTTAAAGATCAAAAAATCCATATATCTACCACACTAATGATTTTCTTTTCCTTTCTTGCTTTTCCACACTTTTCTTGCTTCTTCATGCTATTTTGTAATGACAGGATTAAATATTTTATGTATCTTTATAATCATGTTTGGTTTTTAAAAACCAGCTGTTGCAAATAGAAAAACATTTAACTTCATTTTGATTCAAACAATATTTGGAAAGCTGTCACACGTACAAGGTGTTTGAGATAGTGACGGATATAGAAAAGTCCCTAACCCCATGGAACATTGTCTAAAAGGAAAACAGGCATTATTTATTTGTTTGTTTGTTTTAACGTATTTATTTATTTAACGAGTACTTAACACTTTATATCCTAGGTACCATTCTAAATAATTTGCAGGTATTAACTCATGTAAGTAATTGTATATGATGAGTGTTTCTAAAGAGAGAGATGATCCTTTTTATTTGGATTTCATTATAATTTAATAATAGGCAACAAGTGAGATCTGGGGCATGTAAACACACAACATTTCTCTCATTTTATCACATCTTCAGAACGTGACACCTGGACAGGACAGAAGAGAAATTTGATCCCTTATATCAGGAAAGGAAGGCTGAGTTGGGTTCACGATCTTCTGCATCTTTTAGCAGTTTGGTCCCTATGTTGGCTTTGGCTGGTGTGACTAGTTGTACTCACATTGACTTGGAGTGATCTTTTTCTTCCCTTAACCGCATGTTGTCATTGTTGTTCCATTGACTCTTTCTATAATGTTCTATTTTGGGAGAAGTTGATGAAGAATACCGCTCTTCAAAATTGACTTGCTAACCCCTATTTTTAGAGAAATTATCCTGTCTTGCATACTTGACTTTCAAGATGACAGTTTACAAACTAAACTTCAACTTGAGTATTCTTAGGAAGGTCTTTTTTTTTTTTAAGCTCCAAATCTAATTTTGTGTTTTTTTTTTAAAATTTATTTATTTATTATTTATTTTTGGCTGTGTTGGGTGTTCGTTTCTGTGCGAGGGCTTTCTCTAGTTGCGGCATGCGGGGGCCACTCTTCATCGCGATGCGTGGGCCTCTCACTATTGCGGCCTCTCTTGTCGCAGAGCACAGGCTCCAGACGCGCAGGCTCAGTAGTTGTGGCTCACGGGCCTAGTTGCTCCGTGGCATGTGGGATCTTTCCAGACCAGGGCTCGAACCTGTGTCCCCTGCACTGGCAGGCAGATTCTCAACCACTGCGCCACCAGGGAAGCCCTAATTTTGTCTTTTGAAAGTTCATAGAGCTTCCTATTGCTTTTCAAGCAACGTATTTTAGAAACAATATGTTATACTCTTTTTTTTTTTTTAACATCTTTATTGGGGTATAATTGCTTTACAATGGTGTGTTAGTTTCTGCTTTATAACAAAGTGAATCAGTTATACATATACATATGTTCCCATATCTCTTCCCTCTTGCGTCTCCCTATGTTATACTCTTAATTGTATAATTTATACTGTGGTATTTCAAAAGCCTTTAGACGTTATTCTGCTTTCTTATAAACTTCATTTTACAAATCAAAATAAATTATATGAATTAACCAGAAGTTGCTGTTAAGAGTGGTAAAGAAGAGAAAGAGAAGTGTGCAAATTGCATGAGAATAAGATTTTTACCCTGTATTTGACAGTCTTTTAATTCTAGAACTTTCTTTTTCTTTACACTTTTTTAAAAAATTGAAGTATAGTTGATTTACAATGTTGTGTTAGTTTCACGTGTACAGCAAAGTGGTTTAGTTATACACATATATATTTTTTTCAGATTCTTTTCCCTTATAGGTTATTACAAAATATTGAGTATAGTTCCCTGTGCTATACAGTAGTGGAACTTTCTTGGCAAAAGGGAACTTGTGAGTTTCTTTGAGCAAATTTAGGAGAATATCATTTTTGTGATAACATTTTCTTTACTACCTGTCTTAGTCTCTCCAGTCTGCTGTAACAAAATATCACAGTCCGGGTAACCTATGAACAGCAGACACTTATTTCTTACAGTCTGGAGGCTGGGAAGTTCAAGATCATGGTGCCGGCAGATACGGTGTAGTGGATGGTGAGAGCCCCCTTCCTGGTTCATAGCCATCTCCCTGTGTTTGCACATGCTGGAAGGGGCAAGCAAGCTCACTGGGGCCTCCTTTATAAAGGCACTAATCCCATTCATGAGGGCTCTGCCCTTGTGAAACTAAGTACCTCCCAAAGGCCCCACCTCCTAATACTTTTACATTGGGCATTAGGATTTTAACATATGAATTTGGTTGGGACACAAGCATTTAGACCATACTTTAAGCAAATTTAGGAGGTCCCTAGAATATCACTGTTCTTAACTAAATATATTTGATTTTTGTTTGTTAGTCGCCTTCTTATAAACATCGAAACCTATCTCTTGTGTTGTTCACAATTAACTAGTTCCAAGCTATTTCTTATCTAGAATTGGCCACTTCCCCCATCTTGTTTCTCTGTAAAATCAGTTTACAATCAGTCACTAATTCTTAGTCTCAGTATGAAGCAAAATTTCAGTTGGGTAAAGATTATAATCTTATGTGTATGTGTTGTCTGGTAAATTTGACATTTAAGGGAAAAAAATGTATATACCAATTCTTTGTACTGGTCTAAATTTTGAAATGAGCTACAAGTGTGCTTTGTTTTTAGGTCCGTATTGTGGAAGCATGACTGTGCCCAAAGAACTTTTGCTGAACACCAGTGAAGTAACTGTTCGTTTTGAGAGTGGATCCCACATTTCTGGGCGGGGTTTTTTGCTAACGTATGCCAGCAGCGACCATCCAGGTATAGCAGAAGGACCAGCATAAATCTGTAAACCTTTATCTGTCTTAGAATTCCTCTTGCTAGTCACCATCTCCGGACAGAGCTGTGACCTCAGATCCAGAATTAAGATGTGAGGGAAGAGAGGAATTCAGTGTCTTTGTAAGTAGTTAGGTCTGAACTGAATACTTTCATAGCCCATGTTAGACTGATCCGCTGACTTATGTGGGAGAGGGTTGATCTCATTTTCCTAGAAATCATGGATTGTGTATCTTTGGGGCTACCCTCCTGACCCTCCTAAGGTCTGGCTGTTCTCTGGAGCTCTCCACCAACCCCTTTGTTAGCTTAGGGGACAAGCCTTTTAACCAGCGACACCCCCCCACTCCATACACACCAGTGCACCAGCATGGGAGCATGCGAGTATGAGGAGGAGAAAGTCACTGTCACCAAGTGCCCTACCCATCCAGCTAGCGCGTGAGCGGGAGAGAAGGGGAGCATGAATATTGATGGGAAAGGAAAGCGTGGCCTCCCATCCAGGCCTCGAACTCCAGAGTAATTTCCATGCAGCCCAGGGTCTGCCAGGGCCACAGAGGTGCCCAGAGTTTCTGCTGTCAGGCCCCTCCTGCAGAAATACTCTGGGAAGGGGGTACCCCATTCATTTCTCACTCAGCCAATCAGATCTGAGCAATATCCTAGCAGGCCCCTGCATGGCCGGTGTTCAGCATACGTTTCTCCCTAAGAACCACTGAAATGATTAAGGAAAGAAAGAACTTCTGCAGCAAGTGTGGAATATTTTGGAAACTATACTAGGTCCATCTAAAAGCACCAAAATCCACAGTATCTTAGAGTTTCCATTGCTGAGTATTAGTTCTATAAATTGCTCCAGAGAGCACGCTGCTTTCAAGTCCTTGGTCCTCATTGATCAAAGCTGATAGGCTCTTTGCTTCCTCACTAAACTCCTGGCCCTGTGGTCGCTCGATTGCCACTAGCTAAATTGTTAAATTAAGATGTTCCTGAACCTTCTCTGAACCACACTGGGCTCTTGAAATGGTTTTCCTCCTGCCAGCGGAGCTTATACACATGGCCTTTTGTAGGTATGTAGTGAATAGTAACTAACCAGTGTTGGTTAGTTGGAAATAGATTCTGTTGTCATTCACTGGATAAATACTGAAGAACCATCACTGGTGGTAGAAAAGAAAAATGAAGGGAACTGATGAAATCCTGGGGATAGTGGGTCCGTTTTTATTTATTTTTAAACAGAAGAGTTCAGATAACTAGATAACGAATAAATACTTTTCAAAAACTGTTTCATTTCAAAAGAAATCTTTAGAGCTGATTGCAATTATCTTTATTTATGACAGATTTAATAACGTGTTTGGAACGAGCTAACCATTATTTGAAGACAGAATACAGGTAAATACAGTGTCCTAGCTGTGCTGCAGTCATTTGTTGCTGAATATTTTGTTTTCCTTGACATTAAACCAGATAAAGTACCTTATTTGTACTTAATTTAATTTTAAAAAATCATCTATGTTGTAACTAATTAGGAATATTTGAAATGGTTTCTTATACAGCAGAGATCAGCAAACTTTCTGTCAAAGTCCAGATAATAAATACTTTAGGTTTTGCAGGCCGTGCAGTCTCTTTTGCATCTGTTCATACAGTTTCTGTTGCCTTTGTAGTGCAGAAGCAGCCATAGACAGTATATATGTGAACGAATGAGCATGGCTGTGTTGCAAAAAAACTTTCTTTGTTTCAAAAAAAAAAACGCGCTGGCTGGATTTGGCCCATGGGTCACAGTTTGCTGACCCTTGAGTTCTACTCTAGTACCAATGAGCCAAAATGGAGTCTAGAGTGCATTTTTTTACCGGGCCAGCATTTGGGAGTGACTTTTGTAATTCTGGAAGGGTTCATTTTATCTTTCCCACAAAAAAAGAGACCTACTGAGAATAGGAGATGAAAATTTTCATCCCAGCTTTACTTTAACTGGAAAAATGACTTAATCTCTTGGATGTACATTTTCTCATCTGTAAAGTAAGTCTAGAGGGGGATTTCTCAGCCTTGGCACTATTGATATTTTGGATTGGATGATTTGCTGTTGTGTGCATTGTGGGTGTTTAGCAGCATCCCTGGCCTATATGAGCCAGTCATGATAAATTTCTCCAGACGTTTCCAAAGGTCTGCTGGTGGGCAGAAATCACCCCTAGTTTAGAACCACTGGTCTATAGGTCATTATCAACAAAAACACTAACAACAATTCTAATTCATTAGAGTGTTTTCTTAGTACCAGGTACAGCCCTCTGGAGTTAGCATATAGGTAGCTCCTGTGAATGTTCCAGTACGCCGACCAGGCAGGTTCTGTTTTACCCCAAAAACAGAGGCACAAAGCAATTAAGTAACCTGCTTAGGGCTACACAATAAATAAGAATGCCCCAAAAGTCAAGCTTAAGAGTCCATGGTCCTATCCATCTGATACTCTAATAAATGAGATTCTTTTATATGCAGAATCAACTCTAGTGTTTACTAATATGAAGGTCAGTTGAGAAAAGACAAAAATGAAAATGGCCAGTAATTAAATGTTGCCCTTAAAGTTGCTGTTCATCCAATGCAGACATTCAGCAGCATTTTCTTTCCAGCCATACGTGTACAGTCCCAGGGGTGACAGGGCCTCTGGGCATCAATAGTCATTTCCTATCCTCTTAGAGAAAGGAATATATTCAGCCCTACAGTGTGATGTTATGGTGTCAGATCATCTAAGCTGTAGCCCAGCCTATTTGTAGAGTTTAGTTAAAGATGAGGTATGATGACTAGTACAGGGCCCTAATCCTTCATCCATAATTGTGAAATGCAGAAAGCTTTAAAAGTCAAAAGATTTTTGTAACTCATTTGGTGGCAGTACCTGGTTAATGTGACCTTAAATTCATCTGACAGCAAAATTGGACTGAATTAAACATGAGGCTATTTTGTCTTTATGTATTTGACCTAATATGACTATCCATATATTTGATACAGAGATATTAATGTTTTGATTAATATTTGCAGACCTCAGTGGCGTCATACATCATATACATTATTGGCACTGTTTTACTTTTCTAAAATCCCCAAAATTCTGAATTCTGAAATACATCTGGCTCTAAGGGCTAGGATAAGGAACTGTAAACCTGTAATAGGATTTCCATTATTTCTGTTTCTTAATTCCTTGATTATTGCTGTAATGCCGGATTCCACTAGGTCAATGGGGAAGAATTATGAACCGTTTATTTGGGTAGTTTTGATAATTAGATTCTGTTACACATCTAATTTGCTAAGTCAGCAGGAGGAAACTGAGAGGAAATGAAATAAAAGCAACTGCTGTTTTGGAATCTGCTTGGGCTGGTACATTCTTCTTGAACAAACCAAGCAGACATTATTGTAATATGGTATATATAGAAACAAGGGCTTATGGCATTCATCTTTAAAGGTGTCAATGTTCACATAATATTTGAGTTTCCTTTTGCACGTCTTTTTAGATGTATGGTTGTCTCTCATGGCCTATTGATATGTTGATGCTTGAAGGAGCTACAGAAGAGGAAACTGAATTTAAGGGGGATTATATGCAATATTCGGGGTCACATAGCTAGTTAGGTAGTAACAGAGCCTGGGTCAACACACCCTAAGCCACAGCCATCCATACCATATGCCATGACATGTTCCTGAAAAGTTTCTTGAAAAATGACTCTTAAGTAAATGAAATCCTAATTTTAAATATACCTCTTCTAGTCAAACTCATAGAAACAGAAAGTAGTTACTGGGGGCTGGAGGTTAGGGGAAATAGGGAAAGGTTGATAAAAGGGTATAAACTTTCAGCTATAAAGATGAATAAGGTCTGAGGATCTAATGTATAACATGGTGACTATAGCTGATAACACCATATTGTGTAATTGAAATTTGTTAAGAGAGTAGAACTTAAATATTCTCACCAAAAAATATATATATATATATACGTACGTGTGTGTGTGTGTGTGTGTGTATGAGGTGATGGCTGTGTTTAACTAACTAGATGGGAGGAATTCTTTCAGTGTATACGTATATCAAATCATCATGATGCACACTTTAAATATTTCACAATTTTGTTTGTCAACTATACCCCAGTAAAGCTGAAAAAAATATACACCTTTTTTCTGACTGCAAAAGTAATTTATAACTAATGTAGACCAACACTCTCCAGGCATTTAAACTTGACTAATTCAAATTGAGGTGTGCTGTAAGTATAAAATATACTGCAGATTTTGCAGACTTATTTAAAAAAAAGACTGGAAATATCTTGATAATTTTTCTGTTCATTACATGTGGAAATGATACATTTTGAATATATTAGGTTAAACAAAATATATGAGTAATATTAATATTAATTTTGCCTGTTTCTTTTGATTTTTTTAATGTGGCTACTAGAATATTTAAATTAACATGTATGGCTTCCATTATGTTCCAATTGGGTAATGCTAGTAGAGTGAATCCAAATTTACAGAGTTAGTAACACAGAAAGTGATAGTTTCTCAAACTCCTACACTCAGAGCGAATCCAGAGATATTCTTGTTTTCTTTTTATCCATAGAAAACATAAATTGTTATTTAAACATTTCTTTTCATAAAAACAGGATTATGCTATATATACTGTATTTAGAAACTTTACCTTTTTACTTAACATTTCTTGGACCCCTTAAAATCAATTAAGATGCTTTAGGGAAGCTCATTGTTTAATAGAGTTTATAATGAATTTTGATATAAAACAAATAATTGTGTAAAACTTGCCTTCAGATGAACATTTTAGATAAGTCTGTGTTTTCACAAATCAGGTTTCTGATTTGTCATTAAAGAAAGATATTCCTGCATGTTGTATAGAGGAGAGAAAATACTTTTAAGTATAATTTCACACTAAGTACGACCTAATAAAATATAAACTCTATTTTTTTTCCAGCAAGTTCTGCCCAGCTGGTTGTAGAGACATAGCAGGAGATATTTCTGGGAATGTGGTGCATGGATATAGAGATGTAAGTAATTGAGGGTAATTTTATGGCAGGGAGGAAATTAAAAAGAGTTAGTGCTTGTTGCTCTGCCTAAATTCTTTACAAAGTAAAGTCAAATAAGATATAAAACTTTGTAGATAGATGCACAGTTCTCTTTTCTGAGAATAAATGAAATAAGTATAAAAACCAAGGTTATTCATGGCATTCATTCCTATTTTTAGCATTTCCAGTTAAGCATACTATAAATGAAATGGTAAACAAAACCCTTTATATTATTTATATTTATATTAATTATACCTAAGGGTATAATTCCATCCAATTTTTATAAGAGATCATCCTTTTGTTATAATTTATTTCTTTATTTTAATGCTCCAATTGATTCATGTAATACAGTCAAGGACATGAACATTTTACATCACAGAATAGTGACATTATATCTAGGACCAGTGAAGCCATATGCCCTGCTCATATATATTATTCCCCTCCCTCCTTGCACTCCAATTTCTAATGCCTATTGAAACTCTCTGGGTGATATAAATTGTTCCCAGAAAAAAATAAATTCACAAGAAATCATTTTTCTAAAGTATATATCTTATATCCAGATACACAATCCTTTATTTCTTACTATTTACAGATTTCTATCCTGGAAATCTGATACCTGATTTTTAAAAATTTGCTATTCAAAATAGTTGGGTTTATAGCTTACGGGAAGGGGCTTGAGTTATTAGAAATGTGAAAATCTATATAGTGATGGAACTTTTCTAAGAGTTCTTTATGCACGGGGAAAACATACATGTTCTAGGAGATTGATCACATATCTCCAGCAGGAAGAAAAAAACTTGGCTTTAATTTTGCTTTCAGTACATCCTGATTCTGGAAGCAGCAGGTTTTGTGATTTTGCTCTTTGTTTCCTTTTTCTTGTGTTGTCTTAATTTACAAGATTGACACAGGATATTTACTTGGACTAGAAACTGAATCTTAAAATGATTTACACTACCTCAACTTGAAAATATACTCGGCACAGGCTGAAGTCCTAGATGACTTCAGGAAATTAACCAAAAGAACTAAAAAGTTGAGGTATAGTTTTCTCCCCCTAGCAATATAAAGTTTTAATTTATTATCTTCCTGTCCTGTATAAGAAACTTAAGAATTATATGCAGAAAGAGAAATAGCATTGTTTCTTTCTTGCTTTATTTGTTGATCTCACCTCCTCTTGACAGAGCTCTCTTTTTCAGAGTAACAGGTTAATGGTTTCCTGGGTGGTAGGCCTCAGTACATGATCTGGAAGTGCTAACAAACAGGTTTCCTATTTGACGCACTAACTGGTTTTACACCATTTGCTTCCAGTATGATTTCATCTGGAGGGAAAATTTGTATTTTGAAAACTAATCTCTTCAAAGAAGTCTGATTAGTGTCTTTTTTTGGTATATGTTGATACTGTGTGTATATTAGATATCTATTGCTACATGACTATTACCAAAAACTTAGAAGCTTGAAACAACACATGTATTCTCTCTCATGTTCTGTGGATCAGGAGTTTGAGCATGGCCTGCTGAGTTTGAGTGAGGGACACTCACAAGGGGGTATCCAAGGTGACACAAGGGTGTCAGTGGGGCTGCAGTTTCATCTGAGGCTTGACTAGGAAAATACTTGTTTCTAAGCTCACACGGTGTTGGCAGCATTCAGTTACTGATGGGTTGTTGGATTGAGGACTTCAGTTTCTTCCTGGATTTTGGTTGGAGGCTGTCCTCAGCTCCTTACCATGTGGACCTCCCCAGCATGGCTACTTGCTTTTTTTTTTCTTTCTCCCTCTGATTATTTTCTCTCCGCCGTCTGTGTACCATCTTTATTTTTTTTAATTTTATTGATGTATGGTTACTGTATAATATTATATGTTACAGGTGTGCAATATAGTGACTCACAATTTTTTTAACATCTTTATTGGAGTATAATTGCTTTACAATGGTGTGTTAGTTTCTGCTTTATAACAAAGTGAAATAGTTATACATATACATATGTTCCCATATCTCTTCCCTCTTGCATCTCCCTTCCTCCCACCCTCCCTATCCCACCCCTCTAGGTGGTCACAAAGCACCGAGCTGATCTCCCTGAGCTATGTGGCTGCTTCCCACTAGCTATCTGTTTTACCTTTGGTAGTGTATATATGTCCATGCCACTCTCTCATTTTGTCACAGCTTACCCTTCCCCCTCCCCATATCCTCAAGTCCATTCTCTAGTAGGTCTGTGTCTTTATTCCTGTTTTGCCCCTAGGTTCTTCATGACCATTTTTTTTTTCTTAGATTCCATATATATGTGTTAGCATACGGTATTTGTTTTTCGCTTTCTGACTTACTTCACTCTGTATGACAGACACCAAGTACCTCCACCTCACTACAAATAACTCAATTTCGTTTCTTTTTATGGCTGAGTAATATTCCATTGTATATATGTGCCACATCTTCTTTATGGCTTAGGTAGCTTCCATGTCCTGGCTGTTATAAATAGTGCTGCAGTGAACATTGTGGTACATGACTCTTTTGGAGTTATGGTTTTCTCATGGTATATGCCCAGTAGTGGGATTACTGGGTGGTATGGTAGTTCTATTTTTAGTTTTTGAAGGAACCACCATACTGTTCTCCATAGTGGCTTTATCAATTTACAGTCCCACCAACAGTGCAAGAGGGTTCCCTTTTCTCCACACCCTCTCTAGCATTTATTGTTTGTAGATTTTTTGATGATGCCCATTATGACTGGTGTGAGGTGATACCTCATTGTAGTTTTGATTTTCATTTCTCTAATGATTAGTGATGCTGAGCAGCTTTTCACATGCTTCTTGGCCATCTGTATATCTTCTTTGGAGAAATGCCTGTTTAGGTCTTCTGCCCATTTTTGGATTGGGTTGTTTGTTTTTTTGATATTGAGCTGCATGAGCTGTTTATATATTTTAGAGATTAATCCTTTGTCAGTTGCTTTGTTTGCAAATATTTTCTCCCATTCTGAGGGTTGTCTTTTCATCTTGTTTATGGTTTCCTTTGTTGTGCAAAAGCTTTTAAGTTTCATTACGTCCCATTTGTTGATTTTTGTTTTTATTTCCCTTTCTCTAGGAGGTGGGTCCAAAGGACCTTTCTGTGATTTATGTCATAGAGTGTTCTGCCTGTTTTCCTCTAAGAGTTTTATAGTGTCTGGCCTTACAATAGGTCTGTAATCCATTTTGAGTTTATTTTTGTGTATGCTGTTAGGGAATGTTCTAATTTCATTCTTTTACATGTAGCTGTCCAGTTTTCCCAGCACCACTTACTGAAGAGGCTGTCTTTTCCCCTTTGTGTATTCTTGCCTCTTTTATCAAAGATAAGGTGACCATGGGTGTGTGGGTTTATCTCTGGGCTTTCTATCCTGTTCCACTGATCTATATTTCTGTTTTTTGGGCCAGTACCATACTGTCTTGATTACTGTAGCTTTGTAGTATAGTCTGAAGTCAGGAAGCCTGATTCCTCCAGCCCCATTTTTCTTTCTCAAGATTGCTTTGGCTACTCGGGGTCCTTTGTGTTTCCATACAAATTGTGAAATTTTTTCTTCTAGTTCTGTGAAAAATGCCAGTGGTAGTTTGATAGGGATTGTATTGAACCTGTAGATTGCTTTGGGTAGTATAGTCATTTTCACCATGTTGATACTTCCAATCCAAGAACATGGTATATCTCTCCATCTGTTGGTATCATCTTTAATTTCTTTCATCAGTGTCTTATAGTTTTCTGCATACAGGTCTTTTGTCTCCTTAGGTAGGTTTATTCCTAGGTATTTTATTTTTTTTCTTGCATTGGTAAATGGGAGTGTTTCCTTAATTTCTCTTTCAGATTTTTCATCATTAGTGTACATGAATTCAAGAGGTTTCTGTGCATTAATTTTGTATCCTGCTACTTTACCAAATTCATTGATTAGCTCTAGTATTTTTCTGGTAGAGTCTTTAGGATTCTCTATGTATAGTATAATGTCATCTGCAAAGAGTGACAGCTTTATTTCTTCTTTTCCAATTGGATTCACTTTATTTCTTTTTCTTCTCTGATTACTGTGGCTAAAACTTCCAAAACTATGTTGAATAATAGTGGTGAGAGTGGGCAACCTTGTCTTGTTCCTGATCTTAGTGGAAATGGTTTCAGTTTTTCACCATTGAGAACAGTGTTGGCTGTTGGTTTGTCATATATGGCCTTTATTATGTTGAGGTAAGTTCCCTCTATGCCTACTTTCTGCATGGTTTTTATCATAAATGGGTGTTGAATTTTGTTGAAAGCTTTTTCTGCATCTATTGAGATGATCATATGGTTTTTCTCCTTCAGTTTGTTAGTATCGTGTATCACATTGACTGATTTGCATATATTGAAGAATCCTTGCAATCCAGGGATAAACCCCACTTAATCATGGTATACGATCCTTTTAATGTGCTGCTGGATTCTGTTTGCTAGTATTTTGTTGAGGATTTTTACATCTGTGTTCATCAGTGATATTGGCCTGTAGTTTTCTTTCTTTGTGACATCTCTGTCTGGTTTTGTTATCAGGGTGATGGTGGCTTTGTAGAATGAGTTTGGGAGTGTTCCTCCCTCTGCTATATTTTGGAAGAGTTTGAGATGGATAGGTGTTAGTTCTTCTCTAAATGTTTGATAGAATTCGTGTGTGAAGCCATCTGGTCCTGGGCTTTTGTTTGTTGGAAGACTTTTAATCACAGTTACAATTTCATTGCTTGTGATTGGTCTGTTTATATTTTCTGTTTCTTCTTGGTTCAGCCTTGGAAGGTTGTGCTTTTCTAAGAATTTGTCCGTTTCTTCCAGGTTGTCCATTTTATTGGCATATAGCTGCTTGTAGTAATCTCTCATGATCCCTTGTATTTCTGTAGTGTCAGTTGTTACTTCATTTTGATTTCTAATTCTATTGATTTGAGTCTTCTCCCTTTTTTTCTTGATGAGTCTGGCTAATGGGTGATCAATTTTGTTTATCTTCTCAAAGAACCAGCTTTTAGTTTTATTGATCTTTGC